AACACCCAAAAGCAAACATAAATAAGTAACATCAACAAGACTACAAGCAGGTAATGGCAACAGGAGGACAAGCAGGTAATGGCAACAGGAGGAAAGGCAGGTAATGGCAACAAGAGGTATCTAGGACTGCAAATGGGTAACCGGGCTCGGGACACAAACAGGGTACAGGACTGGTAACAGGACTCTGGACGGAAAGCAGAGTTCACCAGAACTGGCGACAGAACTGGGAACTCAGGGTTCAAGTTTCAGGAAACAGGAAACAATACTGAGCCACAGACCTTACTGCAGGGAGGGCTTGAGTAACCTCCCAGGGAGCACCAGGTGGTGGATGATTGGTGGCAGCTGGGAGACACCTGCAGGTGAGCACTGGAGTTGCAGTTTCCAGCACCACCCAGGGGAGGTCTGGTACCTAGCAGTTCCTGGCTGCCTGGAGACCCCTGCAGGTGACTACGGAAACTGTAGGGCTTAGCTCCAGCGCCACCTGGAGGCGCTCTGGATCCTGACACAGGGTCCTGCTTGTGAACTTTATCTTTGAGTAGGGTGATAGTGTTCATGGCCTCAGTGTACTGCATTTCCCGCTTCTCCACTCTCTGCCCTATGTGAGTTGTATCAGTCCTGATTTCTGACAGGGCCTGCAGGTGTAGCCCCTCCACGTGGGAGACAAACTCTTGCAGGTCTGCTTTAGTGGGCAGGGATCTGAGTACAGCCCGCAGGTCCCAGTCCGTGTCTTCCCCCTCTGAGAATCCCCCCTCTGAGTGCCCCGATCTCGGGTATCTGCCCGATTGTGAAGGGCTCCCCTCCGCAAACACGCCTGGAATAGGGGTGGGGTGAGGGACACCTCGGGGTGAGTGGGCAGGAGAGCGCCGTCTGGCGCCATATTGGATGCGGCCCTGTTGCTCGTCCTCCAGTCGCGGAGTAACATGTCCAGTGCTCCCCTTTGGGGCCGGGGGGGTGTTCAGGTGCCTCGAGGAGGTCCTCCGTTTACCTGCCATCATCGGTGGTTCAGCGCGGATTGTCAGATGGGTGCAGATGCAGAGTGTGAGCACGGAGCCGAGATCAAATGCGGCTGTCCTCCATTGCGTCCAGGCCACGCCCCCCATTCTGCTGATTAAACAATTAATTAACGTCCCCACACTGATAAGCTCATTACTCTTGTCAGCAAGTTTGCAGTGTTAAACTGACAGCAGTGCACAGTGCAGTCGATGATGATTGGCTCACAGTATTACCCTTTTCTCTCCTAGTCTGAGCACTGCTGTACAGGGGATAACAGAAATCTAATTTAAAATCAGATTAGCTATTTTTAAAAGAAATGTAATTAAGTATTTCAGAAATGTAATAAATGGCCATCAATTATCTACCTAGAGCTCACTGATAAAGTTTGGATGTTTGGTAAAATATAATAAGTTCTTACATCTCTTTGTCATAAGATATAGTCATTAGACAACTGAATAGACAATAGTCATTGGCTAGGTTATCTATATTGTTTGTCATGTGAGGTACTGGGACAAAAACTGCTTTCATGTGTCATCCTATAGTGGGAGGAACAGACTACGTCTCTCCTGTCAGTTATTCCCAGATAATCAAATGGTGCACTCTTTAGCAGAGCACTTACTAAGTCCTCAGGTGTTCTGTTACTTGAATGATCAGGTATCATTGTACCTGGTGAATTATTAAACCACCCCTCTCTTCCCTACAGCCTGCGATCAACGTCCAAACTCCATTGGCAGAGCTACTCCTTCTTCCTTGCTGGCTCTAGGAGTGCAGCCATGGCTCGAGAAATGGAATCAATTTATACATCAACAATTGGATCTTATAAGGTGAGCCCACCTCCCCTACACGTCCACATCAGTATATGTAGCCATTTAACCTGTAATATAGATAAATTTAAAAAGTATCTGTAGAATTTTTTATGAAATTAGAAAAAGGAAAATTCTTGTGTGTGAATTCAAATGTTTAAAAGAAAATGTTGTTATCTATTGTTATAATATGAATGTTAAATGTTTTCATATACGGTTATAAAATGGAAAGTAGTCAGCTGTTTACCGGTAAGGTGTGGAAGAGGACGCTTGTGTCTGTGTATATGCAGTTCCTGAACATCAGTGCATACTATATGATCACAGAGTAGACATTAGGGATCACACACCAGTACTGGTCAGTGCATTGTGTTCTTTTTCTTGCAGAAAATTTTAGGCCAGTTTAATCCTGCCTTGGAGAACCTGGTATATCTTGGTAATAATTATCTCAAAGTGTTAAGTGGTAAGTCTACCCTACCAATTAAATCTATATTAAAATTGCCCAAAATGTTGTTGAGTGTTGGTACTTACCAATGTGAAGTGTGTGACTGTATGTTTGTACACATTTCCTGTATGCAGACCCAGAAATAATACGTCTGCTGTCATCTGGTTGTTTGATTGGAAATTGTTGTAGCATCGGAATTTAAAATACATACTGTATATATTGTTCATATGATGATCAGTTGCTGCTTTCATTCATCATGGATGCTAGGAGAAACTGTGCAATATCAACAACACTCATAACACAATAACTAAAAACAAGGCTTTCCTGCAGATGGAGTGATAAAGTATATTCATGTTAGATTCTTTGCAATATGCAGTAACTATGCACCCAAGATTACTTCTTATCAAAGTAATAAACAAGAACCTATACATTAGCATTCAGATTGAAAAAGGAAGGGTCTGCACTTGAAGTCTATTAGGCTGTATTGCATAGTCTTGTGAATCTAACAATTGAAGAACAGAATGCACAAATGACTGCATCAGTAAGCTTTACTAACCAAATCATACAAAACCTTGACCACACTGTATTTGACTGCAGTGGAGAAATGTAAATGGTCAGCAATGGTGTTGATTTACTAAGGGGAAATAGGCTGTTTAATTTGCAAGGGAATGTGTAACTATTTTTGCTTGCACATGATTGGATGATTAAAGTCAGCAGAGCTTTACCTCATTCACTAAGCCAAGGAACATTACCTTGTAAGGTGAACAGCCCAATTGCCCTTTGAAAATCAACTTACATTTTAAAGGAAATTTGTGAGAGGAATGGGAATTTTAAAGTGGCTCCTAACATATAAACATCAAGCACCTCCAGGTACTTGTAAGCTGCTTTCCTATCCTGTAAAGCAACTTGCGAGCCTCAACTTTATACACAATTGGTTAGTACAGCCTTTAATCACAATGCCATACCTCCCTCATTTGGAGGGAGTGCCCCAAGTTTGGAACCTATTTTGTCCTCAGTTGTTTCCTTTTTTTGGTCTGGAGTACAGATATCAATGAAAAGGTACTGTATAAGTACCAGAAGTGATAAGTGATAAGTACCAGAAGTGATATTCTGCACTAAAACTTTCATCCTATCCATCCTAGTATATGTCCTCCTGTGACCCTAAAGAGAACTATGGGCAAAAACACTTACTCCATAGTTCTCTCTTTAACTTCTCTGCGTCAAAGAAACAATCAAAAATGTTGATACAACATTTCAATAACTTTGTTATACTTGTACTTGGGTTTTGGACTTTTTCTTTGTATGTTATCAATTTTCAAAATTTAATAAACTCTTATTAGGCAAAAATGTTGATAAAAAGGTATACACAGATAATTGTATCACATGGTCCCTTTTAATAATTTTAATACCTAACCCTTCTAAACACAAACAACCAAATGCACACAAGACAAACTCACATGGTTCCTCAATTAGGAAAATGTGCATATCTTGAAAAGTAAAAAAGAGATCAAAGATGTATTAATTCACTCAAAACAGCATATAACTTATATGAAAAAATAAAATGATAAGAAACGCATAGTAACTGATACTTTAAAGAGTCATAATATCCCATAAAATTAATTAAAGTCTATGTAAACCTCTTTGCACCTCTTTGGTATGTTAAATATACTATAGAAAGTGTTTTGCTATGTATCTGTTCAATAAGTGCAAAAATTCCCATTGATCCTGCCAAAAATGATGTGTGACTTAGTATAGATATGCACTTTAAGGTATATAATCTTAGCAGGGCCGCCATCAGGGGGTACAGCAGATACTCATGTAAGGGGCCCGGGCAGCCTGGGGGACCCACCCGGGACCCTTACATGGGTATCAGCTGACGGTGACAGGTGAGGAGGCGGCCGGGCCCATGCAGCACCGGAGGAGGTCTGGCCCTAGCAGCGCCGGGCCCCAGCATTGCTGATACAGCGGCTTGGGAGGAGGCTGGGGCCCCATCAGCGCTGCCATTGTTCTGATCTCGGACCGCCCGGAAATCACGTCACTTCCGGCCAGTCCGGCGGCAGAGGAGGCCAGGTGTACAGGCACCAGCAGCAGATAAGAGGAGCTGGGAGGGAAGGGGATGCAGCCCTGACCAGCCCACCTGAGACCTCCTCAGAGCCCACCATAGAGAGTCTATGCAGCATCTATGGTGGGCTCTGCAGGGTCACTCTCAGGTGGGCTGTGTGGGGTCTCAGGTATGTGTGGGGTCTCAGGTGGGTCCTGTGTCCAGCGCGTTACTAAGCCCTGTGTCAAGTGCGTCACTAAGCCTTGTGTCCAGCGCGTCACTAAGCCCAGGGTCCAGCGGGTCACTAAGACCTGAATCAAGCGGGTTTCTAAGCCCTGAGTCCAGCGCGTTACTAAGCGCTGAGTCCAATTCATATACTGTTCTGCATTGCTGTATAAATGTATTGCTGGGATTTGTAGTCCCCCTACAGCTGGTGCCATTCTGCATTAGAGTGTAAGCTCCTCCATACAGAGACTGATTTGACTGTCTCAGTGTTCTTGGCAAATGTTGTTTCATTTGATTTTGATTTAATATGTGATTTTGGAATGAATGGGGTTTTCTGAACGAAAACCACATTCACCATTAGAATTCCATTCGATTTTCCAACATGCTTCTTCAAATTTGTTGGTCACTGCAGTCAAAATTGATCATCTATTTCACCGCATCAACGATTAGAATGTCGAACAAACGTTCCAAAATAGATTTGTTTCTTCGACTCTAGTCAGACTCTGCCTAGAGTACATTGTGTAGCATACTTCCACTCTCTCTTCAACCTTAACTGCTGAGAAAGTCATACCTGTTGGCAGCTCTCTACCCACTATAGGTACCGATACAGCACAGCTACAGCAATGAGTCACGTACTAGCAGAGGCAGCCAACCAGTGGCTCAGACTGAATACAAATCTCTGCATGTAAGTGTCCATGTGTTGTGCCACTGTGACTCAGCTTGAGAGTCACCAGGAAGAAACCTGTAACTGTTTACAGCTAAATATACAAAAAGTTTTGTTAGCATATAGGCCATAAACAGTGGGAGTGGGGGTTAAAATATTTTGAGGTTATATATAGCAAGGTTTAGATTTGCTTTTAGGAAAGTTGAATACATTGTATGACTTTGTAGGACATTGCATTTCTGCAGTGTTTGCTGGTATCAGTTGTATTAGTTTGTGTTCTTTAGAATTGCCCTTGTTGCAGTGGTTTTCCCTGTATAGGCTCAAAGGTGTCATTTCAAATATTAAACTCTGCATGTAAGAAAGTTATTTTTGGACCTACTACATTGGAATTACTTTTCTGAAACATTGCAGTTTGAAAAGATGAACCTACCAGCACTTTATGTGGGTTCATACTCTATTGCATTAGGTTTCTTGTAAGGATAAGTAAAATAGAACTTGACCAGCATTGCTCTAAAGATCATTGAATGGTGCGGACACAAGAAATCTATAGAGATGTAAAGAGAGTTCCATGCCTAAAATGATTAAGCCAGTGGTCATTATGAGAGTGCCTGTATAATGGGGCATGGACTTTTGATGTATGGGTTAGGCCATGCATGCTTACACAATAAGATATTGAATACTGATGTAACTTTGTTGTGCCACCTTTTTTGTGCCAAAATCATCTCTGAATTGGTGCTGACACTGTCCTTCCTTCTAGAGGGTGGCTACTCTTGTTCCCCATGGTCCCTGTGTGTGTTGTAAAGTAGCCACCGCTCCAAGCTCACTCCTGTGATAGACTACAATCTCAATACAAATTAGTAAACTAAACGTGAGATTGTAGTCCATCACGGGAGCCAGCTTGGAGCTGTGACTTTACATTGCACACAGGGACCCTGGGGAACAAAAGTAGCCACCCACCAGAGGGAAGGACAGTGTCAGCATGAATTCAGAGATGATGTGAGGATCTACAGTAAACCCATGGGCAGGCTACAAAATTTCCCAAAGAGGTTTAATACCATTAATGGATAAATGTGATTTCTGACAGAAGCTCATCATCACTGAACACTATTGTCAAACACTTAGCTGGCTTCTTATCCAGTGATAATACCTAACTATTGTGTTTCAACTTTATTTAGCATAAAAGGGCATCTCACATACAGTCATCACCAATTCAGAGATGATTTTAGGATCTACAGCTGAGTAATACACAAATTAGCTACATATTTGTTAATAGTTCAAGTACTTGAATGCATTTTTTAAGATTTAACTCCTGAGTTTAGTGTTCCTTTAATGAAGCTATTAGAAATTACTGTCAATTAATATTTTTTACAAGAATGATTAGCTCCACAATACCACTCATCTCTCACCACCATTAAAACATGGATTGTCACTAAACTTTCATACAATAATACAACACTATATGTAAAAAAAAAAAAAAAAAAGTCAAATACATAAATGCAAATCAAACATAAATGTGCAAAACAATATAGTCCAAAATGTCCAAAGTTATTCACAGCAGCTTGCAAAAAGACCGATATACAATTCCTTAAATGATATTATACAAATTGCAACCATGCAATTTCTATAAAATAATAATACAACACTGCAATACACCATTATAAACTACACTTGCTGTAGGATGTAAATGTTCTATTGTCAACCAACTGTCTTTGTTACTGTTACAAAGTTCTAATTATCCAAAGTGTAATTTAAATGATCTCAATAAAAAGGTCCCCGTCACACCTGTTGGTGCACGTTAATGTATGGTATTTGGTCTGTTAACGTGCATTGAGCTAGCCCATTCATTTAAAATAGGTGGCCAATGTACAGAGATGAACCAAATCAGATCTGTAATTTTTTTTAACACATGACATGAATTCTTATTTCTTATTCCCATTGTCACTGAGAAAGACAGTAATGGGAAATCCAAAATTTTCCTTTTCACCAGAACAAGACATGAGGTTAAGTCTTTCAGTGGGTGTTCCTGTTCTGATCAGTGGCTGCACCGGGGCCTGAGCCTGGGGGGGCCCAACAGACCCAGGCACCAGACCAGTGGCAAGGTAGGGAAAGAGATGGTGGGGGGGCCGGCCTGCCGCACGGCAGTGAGGCATAGCAGCCGTCAAGCACAAGGTGAGGCAGCACTGGGGCCTCGGCCGGGAGGACCCAGCAGCTTCCTGATTACACAGCCCGCTGCCTCTCCCAGCTACATGATGTTCCCGCCACAAGGAGGAGGTGAGGTGACTGCTTTTATCTTCTATATGTGCCCAAGTTCTGTGACATGTTTTGTAGTCCTCTATAACTGATGGAATTACTCTGCATTTCTGTAGAGAGCAATGCTGGAAGTTGTAGTCCCCTATAGCCTTTACCATTCTGCGTTTCTGTAGAGAGTAATGCTGGAAGTTGTAGTCCCCTATAGCCATTACCATTCTGCGTTTCTGTAGAGAGTAATGCTGGAGTTGTAGTCCCCTATAGCCCTTACCATTATGCGTTTCTGTAGAGAGTATTGCTGGAAGTTATAGTCCCCTATAGCCGTTACCATTCTGTGTTTCTGTAGAGAGTAATGCTGGAAGTTGTAGTCCCCTATAGCCATTACCATTCTGCGTTTCTGTAGAGAGTAATGCTGGAGTTGTAGTCCCCTATAGCCCTTACCATTATGCGTTTCTGTAGAGAGTATTGCTGGAAGTTATAGTCCCCTATAGCCGTTACCATTCTGTGTTTCTGTAGAGAGTAATGCTGGAAGTTGTAGTCCCCTATAGCCGTTACCATTCTGTGTTTCTGTAGAGAGTAATGCTGGAAGTTGTAGTCCCCTATAGCCGTTACCATTCTTCATTTCTGTAGAGAGTATTGCTGGAAGTTGTAGTCCTCATAGACGCTACCATTCTGCGTTTCTGTAGAGAGTATTGCTGGGAATTGTAGTTCTCTATATCCGTTACCATTATGCAGTTCTGTATAAAGTATTGCTGGGAGTTGTAGTCCTCTATACAGAAATGCAGAATGGTAACGGCTATAGGTGGGCAGGGCGGGCATTGTAAGAGCCCGGGGGAGCCAGGGCCCATTGTTCCATCGGTCCGCCACTGGTTCTGATTATAACTGTCTAATGGAGGAATTCCTGTTACTGTTTATAGAATTCCTCTCACTCCCTTTGCATCTTCAGAACAGGAAGTAAAGGGAAATCTCTCAAATGAGACACAGACAGCAAAACTACTCTATCCAAAACTAAAAAAAAAAAGTTTGGGATATACATACACTTTACACTAACGCATGTATTATCAGCCACAAAACATTTTTTTAAGCTCCTTCTCTTGGCTGTCTTTGGTGGGAATACCATTTGCAAAGAGCAGCAAAGCAAAGCATTATCATTGTACTGATTAATCTGTCCTGGAATATAATTGGTTAATAACGGTTACTGCACTTTGAATTTTATCATTGCTGTTTGCACTGCTTTACTTGCCATTTCCTTTCACTTCCTCTTCCTTCTTTTTTCTGACCCAGTGACTGATCATCAGTTTTCATACTGCTCTCTTGAATCATTATCAGAACAGAATTACAGGATATTCCAAAGCAACTCTTGAGGCCATACACTGAAATAGATTTTCCCACCATACAAAAAAATTTGACAATCACATTTTGTTGAGTAATGACCAGCATCAGAGTATCAGCATGAACCTCAATAAAGATATAAGGCATTGGAAGAATTGCAGTACTTTTCTTTTTTTACCTCTGATAATAAAGCAGTAATGAATGTAACTTAAAGATGACCTTTACCCATATCTTGAAAACAACAAAGGCTCCTTTACAAATGGTTAGTAATGGCATTCTACAAATGGATACTTCTAGAAGATAATTGCCCTTTTTTTATTTTTTACATAACCTTATTTTTTTTTCTTCCCCAGTCTTTTGACAGTGACCATTTTAACTAAGGGCAGGTTACTAGATTCCCCTTTACTTCATGGAACTCTGGCACATGTGACTAGGACATGTGACCATGCACATCATCTCAGGGGAGGAAAATGCCTTTCCCGGAGATCTCATGAGAAGAGATTTTCCCAATATTGCTCTACTGATGTAACCTTCCCAGGATGCAATACTTGGGCACGATTACATAATTTGTACTAAAGTGGACCAGGAAGTGGCAAAATATAAATTGTAAATAAAAGAAAAGTATGTTTGTTTAGTTAATGAATGTAAGATGATTTCATATCAGCATGTAGAGCTGCACACTGATGTGATTTTTAGTGAAAGGGGGTAAAGGTCAACTTCAACTGCTATTGCATGGTACTGCTTCATAGAAAGTAAAGGGAAAGCTAAGGGCTATAACCTTGTTACGCACTCATATGCCCTGTCCTCTGTTCGTTATGCACTCCTGTACTCCCTGCCTCCTGAGCCATTAACTATAGACACTATGTTGTACATTTAATACTACTCACCACTGCATTCTGTAAACTGAACTTTATATGGCTGACTTCTGATCACAGCACTGCACTGTAAGTACATTATATAAGCCTGTACTTATACAGTTAGTAGACTCAAGTCTCCCACTGTTTTTGCAGGAGTACAATTTAGCCACACCCGTCATTTGGTGTGGCTCCTGAGCCCTTCACTCTCTGTTATGTACTCTTGAGCCCTGTACTCTATGCGTTATGTACTCCTGAGCCCGACACACTGTGTGTTGCAAACTCCTAACCCTGCACTCTGTATATTACACAGTACTGAGCCCTGCACTTTGTGAGACACACACTCCTGTGCCCAGCACTCTGTGTTATGTACTCTTGAGCCCTGCATTCTGTGCAATACCTACTCCTGAGCCCTTCACTTTGTGCTTTTGGCACTGCTGAGCCCTGCATTCTGTGTGTTATTTACTCCTGACACCTGCACTCTATGGGGGGAATGTATCAAAACTAGAGCAGACAAAATCTGGAGAAGATTTGTACTGCAGCCAATCAGCGTCTTTCTTTCATTTTCAAATCTTACCTGAGCAAACTGAAGAGAGATGCTGATTGGTTGCCATGGGCAACTGCTTCAGATTCTGTTTACTCTAGTTTTGATAAATTCCCCCCTGTGAGTTATGCACTCTTGACCCCAGTACCCTGTGCATTACTTATCCCTGACTCCTGCACTCTGTGTGTTATGCACTCCTGAGCCTTGCCTTTGCATGTTCCACACTCCTGAGCCCTGAACTCTGTATGGTACACACTCCTGAGCCTTTCACTCTGTGTGTTACAGAGTCCTAAACCCTGCACTCTTGCACGTTATACACTTCTAAGCCCTGCACTCTTTGTATTATGCACGTCTAGGTGCCCGTGGGTAACCAAAGTTGGTCAAAATCCTAGCAACACTCTGTGCTGTCAACCTTCTAATCAATAATATAAAAAGCTGTAGGTAAGTGTGGGAAGGGAGAGCTGAAAAGAGAATGATGTGGACAATTGCTCTGCCTCTGAATTTTAAGAATTAATTGCTCCACGGTGTCTTCAGCTGCAGAGGGCCAAGAGAATTTGTTTTAAAGATAATTGACTTTTTGTTAAGAATATATGTAAATACTTAAATTTCCATAGACTATTCACGGTTCACCTTAAAGAATAAAAACTCTGATATCTTTATCCATACATTTACATATGTACAATGTATATACAATATGAGTTCTAAAAACTCCAGCGTTAGTGCTAGAGTGAAATTTATGTGTTAGGTGTAAACTAACTGCTGTTCTCTTTTCCCAGCTCTGTCTGAGGTTGCTGAGAATTACTATAATGCCATTAAAAAGATAGGTGAACAGGCTCTACAGAATTCCACATGCCATGGACTGGGTAAGTCCGAAAATGACAATTTATTGGGCATATGTAAAATATTCGATGGCAGAGAAACATTTGTGCCCTTATTCATCCTCATTTA